CGGTAATCTTCGAGGAGCTGAATAAGATTGGTAATCCACGGCGAACCTACTTCGCTTCTCAGAGAGACATGACCCGGAAGCGTTGAATATATAAGCAAGAAATCTTCTTCTAATTCCAGACCGCCCTCTTTGTCCCCGCTAGGAGTACCAATGGCGTTTTGGGATATATCGTGCAATATCCTCCTGTAGTCAGATTCTGGCACTGAAAGAGGAATGACTCATAACATTATGGAAGAAGCTAACATACAATCACATATGCCGAGAGAATTAAAACGAGCTTAGATAAATAATCTCCAGATTTCTCTGCAATAATTTCAAGATACGTCACTTAATACAACACCATTATAATGCTTTTGACGTTGAACACTTTGATGTAATAGCTTTAATTTTTAGTCTAATAGAGATTATAATAATAATAATAATAATAATAATAATAATAATAATAATACAAAAAAAAAACGCAGTTCAGGTACTGTCTGGTTTGTAGACTACGGTAAAAGAAATCGTTTTTGAAATACATAGTACTAACCAAGGGACATACTGTGCATTCGTGTGCAACGTGTTTGAGGATATTGTAACCCTTAATTGTCATCCAGATAACGAAAATGAGTTTTTCCCTGCATCTTATTATTCAATAATGCATTTATCTTTGAAATAACCCTCGAAAATATAAAATATCTGTGCTTATAATTCACGTTGCAATGTATAAGCATATATGCAATTCAAAACTTTAATCGTCAATTTAACACCTCTCTGTTTTGAGACGAGATAGCAATCGGTATGGGGCGTATCTCCAAGCCCAAACAAGGTTTTAGCACCAAAATTGGCATAGTTGACCACGAGTGTATAGGCTACAATCCCTTGCCGTCATTTTGGTTTAAATGTTTTTGTTATGGAGTAATGAGCCCCTAATTATTACAGATTTTCTTAAACAAAGGCATTATTTTGTTTTATCAACTATAATCTGAAGAAAGAGGCATTACGTATAAATACGCGTCTCGTGATGTTTTTTCCACTTTCGATTTCCAGCAGACGAATCCTCCATGACGGAGATGACCACAAAATAAAAGGTAAGCATTTGATGACAATTTGTTCGTTTTTGCCTTGTTTACAGTTATCTAGACTTTTACATAACATCAGTGACGCCACCTTTCAAATGCACGAATTTAAAAAACTTTGTTGGTGACCGATAGGACGATATCAGAACTCCTTACAAGTGTCAATGAAGTCACCTTTCCCGCCGAATTTCGAAAAAAAATATACAAATTCTCACTTTGGGGCAAAACGCCCATGCTGATATGGGACAAAAAGCCTAAAGCTCACTGCCGTAAACAGTACAATTACAGCTGAAGTTTCAAGTCATTGAAAAGTCATTTACGGGTTAAAAATTAATTCGTAATCAGTTCGTGATTGATCAAGAATTGCAAGAACTGACATATACGATATATACGAATCTGTTAAGAACTTCACGAACTGATTACGATTCAACCACGAATCCTGAAATTTCTTTCAATTCCTGGCGATTCGTAGGATTCGTGGTCTGTGTGAAATAGGGGCATCAGCCTCAGTGTTACGGAGAGAAGTTGGAATTTAGTTTTGAGAGATAACTTTACTGTTTGATCAAATACTTATCTCTTTATTCTGCCCACGTTTGACATTTTCCTGTCATTTTCAGAGTAGAGAAATAGGAATTAGAATTGTGAGAGAAACGAGTGAGAAACAATTTGAATGCGAATGAACAAAGATTTTGCACCTTCAAGTATCGTGACACGTTTTCATATCATGTATCTATTATTTCTCCAAGTATTTTCTGCCCAAAATACCAAAACAAAAAAGTTATCTGAGTATGTTGTTATAAAAACTGCTTTTTTCTCTGAGCACACATCTTCACCTCCGTTCACCTCTAGCTAAATAGGTAGAGTTCTACTGTTCAATGATAAAATAGCTGTTTATTAAGACCAATTTTGACTTTTCCTTTCTTCTCAGATTAGCGAATGGAATGACGACTTGAGGATAGTAAGAGTAGGCTACTTGAACGTTACAAAGGCAATTGTACTGTTTGTTTTGATATATAGTTATATTGTTTCTAATAATAAAACATTCTGAATAAACTTGATGGGTATTTTTATTATCTCAGTACCCCCAAAATTTTATCTGTTGCTTTAAAGGCTTACTAAGTCGTCCCGCAGAAATATAATTTGTTTTTATTTTGCAAAGGCAGGGCATAACGCCTATACAACATTGGTCAAAATGGTTGTCCCACCCCAATTTCCATGTACTTTTATTTACAAATGATCACCTCACAGCTGTAAATGGTTAGAAATAGTGCTTTTTATTACAGATACCGTTTGTAACATGATCAATGGTTGAAAAAATACAAAATAGTGATGAAAATATACACATTTTATACCATTTAGTAAAATTTATAAGAGGTACCCCTTCAAATTCACTGTTTCACTGTGACTTCTACAGATGTAAAGAAATGTCTATAAAATTGAAAAGACGCCATCAAATGTCACCAAATTCACAGACAATTAGCATTAGGGTGTACTCGTTAAAGGTCATGTGCCTAACAGCGTGTGCATCTATCGCGTACTGCAATTATCTCCTGTAGACGGCGCGACAAGTCTTCAACATGGGTAACAATTCTGTTAAGTGGGATATTGTCCCATTCATCCTTAAGAGCGTGGCTGAATTGGTCAAGATTATTTGGGAATTGGTTCTCCTCTGCAATGCACATTCCGATTCATGCCACAGGTGCTCAGTAGGATTAATATCAGGACTCAAAGACGGTTGTTCCATCCTCAGAGCCCTGGGTTTCTGCAACAAATCGTTTGCCAGACGAGAGCTGTGAGCAAGTGCGTTGTCACAATGAAGCCAGTAGCATCCCTGAAGTCACCTCTTGCAAATGGAGTGAGATTTCTGTTGAGAATGTAACATTAAAATGTCCCTGTTACGTTTTGTTCCAAAAGGAACAATGTACTAATACCATGGGCTTGGAATGTTCTCAAAATGCGGACTAATCTTACACCTCAGGCGATATTATCCTACACACACTCTTCCATGAGGCATTTTTTAACATGTCTATGGACCCTCTTTGACCATCGATGGGATACAAGAAATAATTTGATTCTACATCAAAATCGACTTCCTTTCAGTGATGGATGGCCAGGTTCAGGTGCCTGTGGGATCACTGAACGCAGCATTCTCAGCTGATATATCATTCCTTCTTCAAGAACTGACATTGGGGTTAACACCAGGCTTTATCATGACTGCACACTTGCTCACACCTCTCGCCTGGCAAGTGTTTGTTGAAGAAACACAATGCTCTAAGGATGGAACCACCATATTTGAGCCCTGATATTAAACTTACTAATCAACTGTGACATGAATTGGAGTGTGCAATGCAAAGGAGAACCAACCGCATAAAAACGTGGACCAACTCCCCCAACTTGTTTAAGAAGAATGGGACAATATCCCACAAAACAGAATTGTTACCCATGTTGAAGGCTTGTCGCGCCGTCTACAGGAGATAATTGCAGTACGCGGTAGATGCACACGCTGTTAGGCACATGACCTTTAACGAGTACAACCTAATGCTAATTGTCTGTGAATTTGGTGACATTTGATGGCGTCTTTTCAATTTTATAGACATTTCTTTACATCTGTAGAAGTCACAGTGAAACAGTGGATTTGAAGGGGTACCTCATAAATTTTACTAAATGGTATAAAATATGTATATTTTCACCACTATTTTGAATTTTTTTAACCATTTATCATGTTAGACACGGTATCTGTAATAAAAAAAACTATTTCTAACAATTTACAGCTGTGAGGTGATCATTTGTAAATAAAAGTACATGGAAATGGGGGTGGGACAACCTTTTGACCAAAGTTGTAGTTTGGGGAAAGACGCCCACGGTAGGCGTGTAGCCCCCTGGTGCGAGGCGTATTGCCCCAGCAATGGGGCAAAAAGGCCGATTTTATAATTCACCTATTTTTTTACCTATAAAGTTTTTTGTGTTGTTTGTTTCCAAAAGTGTTAGTATCAGTTTGTAGTCTGAGCAGGCCTTCATAGTTGACACCCATTTTGAACGGTTTATACCTTCAGCAGGGAAAACTGAGACGTTTCTTGCTTAAGGGTGGCGTTTAGCCCCGGTCTACCAAATGGTGTCATTGCATCGGTGTTGAAATGGTGATCGCGGGTGCTCAGGTAAAAGAGAAATTTGAGAAACCGATTCTTCAGTTTTACCCCAAAATCGAAATTGTGACGTCACCCGCAACAGACATGTGTAATTATTAATTAATTTTGTCACTGATCAGTCAAGATTATTACCCAAAAGAATGTATGTAAGGAAGTAAATTAGGATTTTTGAGCGAAGGGTGACAATATCTTAAACTGCTGAAAGCCCTTCTAATTCACGAACAATCTGATTGATCTGGAATCACTTCAAATATATGCACTGTCAAGTCCGACATAGATATCTTTTTAAGTCATATGACGTAATGTGTTGTAGTCCAATAGCTTTTGAGTAAGGCGGCGGTCGCTGTGTATAACGCCGAAGTAAAGAAATTAACTATACAATTAAAAGTAATTAGGTTTGACGTTCATCGCACAATAGTGCAGCATTGGATCCATGTAAGATAACAAATTAGTATATAAGGAATGAGAACTGATACTTAGGGGGAGATAGAAGGAGAGACACGTAGAGGGAGACATGTAGAAGGAAGCAGCGAAGAAGGAGGTTGGAAGCGATGGGTTACGGAGCAGACGAGTTAAGAGTTGGAGACTTCACTTAGAATATGTAGCTACCGAGCGTCAACGAGCAAATCATTTAACTGGTCATTATGTGGACTTGGGTTTTCTTTGCGCGACCTTACGTAAATCTGACAAGAACCGTGGAATCTTTGGATTGCGTTATCCGTAAGTCTAAAACGTAATGTCCTATTTCGAGCCCACGCTTGAATTAAGCGTACTAAATTATATTAGTTTAGGACATTCATCCTATGTATATGAAAAGGTTCGTTACAGCACGACACTTACTCTGCAGCTTGCTGCCAAGACAAGCGTCCATGACGAACGTTTTTGGCTTGCCTTCCAACGACGGGCATTTGCTTGAGCGAAATTTGTCTACGATTTCCGCAATAGAGACAAGTTCCCCATCAGAGCAGTAAATCCCTTCCTCCGATCCGTGAGACATGATGAAGCATAAGAAGTAACAGTAATTAGAATGGTCTGCTCTGGAATATGTAGCCAGCATCTCCATCAATTTCTCTTTCGACATGTCCCTAGCTGTTACAACTTGCGATCCAAACTTCTCGAAGAATGTCTGTACTGCCTCTAAAAATAATTTTGTAAACAAATAAACGTAGTGGACAATCTTGTCATTTTCTCTAAAATATTTAGAAACACGAGATTTACCAATAATTTTCTTTGTGCTAGGTAAACGTACAAATTCTATAAAAAATTTACTTTATTTCCTAATTACAAATTTTAAAATCGATTAATAAAGGTTTCTGTGCAGCGATGTTGTACCTACCGTCATCGTATTCAGCACCATCTCTGCGTTCCAAACCTCCCTCTGGGAAGTTAATCATATTTATGATGAGGGTAAAGCCCCATTTTGTGCCCTTTTCCTCACTGGGTTCAGAGTAGCCACTGATTTCTGAAACCCTACTGTCCCCACTTTTGTGCCGAGTTTTGAGACTCACATTGTTTCCTTCATCATGGTTGCTATTAATTCCTAAAAAGAAATACCAACTTCATAATACTAGTTGTCTTTTACAACAACAGCGTTAGTTTGCAAAGATATATGTCCATTATCGGAAGAAAAACTTAAACATACCACGAGGAAAATAACTGGAAAAACAAGACGGGTTAAGTGAACCTCCAGCTATATATATATATATATATATATATATATATATATATATATATATATATCATAAGTCTTATTAAAAAGCATTGGAACTGAATACATTTAGCTAATAAAAGTGACGAACTCCCCAGTCATACATGTAATAACATGAAGTTTACCACGCATTAATTAACAGATTAAAAAAGACTTTACTAAACAAGTGCTATACATGTATTTATATCACAGGCAAGATTGATTTCCAGGCAGATGTTAGTAGGTGAAATTGATATCGCAATATCGCCTAGGCGAGATTGAAATTTCAATCGAAGGGAAATTACAAATCAACCTAGACCAGATTGAAATCTAAAGTCACAGACAATTTTAGGTTAGGAAAAGATTAATCACATCCCTAATAATGCCATTTAAGTTATAGAATCTATAGTTAAGAGAATCTTTAATTGATTATGCTGCATATAGGGAGATACAATATATTTTGTTTTTGTGTGCGCGTGCGTGCGTGCTTGTGTATAAAGAGCAATTTTATTTACCTGCTTCAGTGCTGTCACAACGACTTGCTGCTGAACCAACGGAAAAGTAAACACTGCCGCCGGGGCTGTCTCCTACTACAGAGTCAACGCTGCCGCCGGACCAAACACTAGGAGTGTCAGCGCTATCGTCAGTCACTGTTCCTTGAAGTCTATTATATTCTGACGGTTTAGCCACAATACAAGACGCACAGGCAAGACAAGCATGAGTAAAAAACCTCCACATTTTCCGACTAATTCCAGAAACGCTGTGATGTTAAAAACAACCACCACCAAATGTCCACTGACAAGGTGTTGTTTAAAAAATATCTGAAAAAAAAAGCCCAATTGATTATGAATGTCCAACGTTAGTAATTGACAGCCACGAGTGAAAAAAGAACCGGAAATGTTTTGTAGAGTAGCTGAGTTGATTGACATGCTCTTATGATACTTATACACGACTGCGTGTAATGTAAACAAGAAGAAGGCCACTAGAGATACATGTATACAGATAGACGAGGAAATAAGAAATACCTCAACATTATTTTTTTAGATCCATTCATGAAAGTCTAAAGGATATTGTCACTCCTTATTTACTGCCTTACATACATTCTTTTGGGTAATAAATAAATCTTCAGTGTTCATTGGCTAAATTTATTAACATTTACACATATGTCATCTTACGGGTGACGTCATAATTGCGATTTTGGGGTAAAAACTGAAATTGGTTTCTCAAATTTCTCTTTTGTCTGAACATCCACGATTACTGTTTCAACACCGATTTAATGACACCTCTTAGTACTTCAAAACCGATTTGTCTTAAATGTCTTAGCTCAGATGTTATCGTAATGAGTTTGTTTAATGGAAATCTGTAATAAGGGCTTGTAATTCCATAGCAACATTAAACCAAAATGACAGCATGGGATTGTAGCCTACACACTCCTGGTCAACTCTGCTAATTTTCGTGATAAAAACTTATTCAGGGTTAAAGTTACGCCCCATACCGATTGCTATCTCACCTCAAAATAGAAAGGTGTTAAACTGACGATTAAAGCTTTGAGTTGCCTATGCTTATACATGTACGTTGCAACGAAATAATATAAACGCCGATATTTGATGTTTTCGAGGGTTTTTTCATTGGCACAAACATGGATTCCTTAGTGAATAATTAGATGCTGAAAAAAAACTCATTTTTGCTTTCTGGATGATAATAAAGGGTTACAATATCCTTAATGTCTCTCGTTCGTCACGTGTGCCATTGACACCCGAGTCAGCCCACAGCTGTCTCTAGATTCCATTACATACCTTACCTGGCGTCTTCCAAACTACTAGGCGCCTAACAAGATATTTTTTCGCTTGTTTGTATTGGTTCAATAGGTGATAGGCTTTCAACGTCGCTGATGCGTTACCTCACAGGTTTCAAATTCGCTACTAATAAAAGGCAATTCAAGCCCGGGGACCAGGGGTTCTGTAGCTGACCTGATCCGGAACTGCGCACCACACAGATAACAATACACGTACATGTATATCGCATTGATATTTTGTAAGTGGTCTGCAAGAACCTAAATTAATGAGGCAATTTTACGCACAGGTTTTTTTGTTATATTGAAGTTATTCTAAAATGTAACTATCATGTTCAGACAGTATAATGAAGATTTAGGTTTCTCCTGAAAACAACAAATGCTCCTTCATCACTTCCTGTGGACATTACGGCCTTACTTTGAGAAGTTAACACAAACGAGAAATCATAAGGTTCCCCATAATCCCCACGGTGTTTCATTCCTTAGACTACACACACTGGACAAAAGAAGTGTCACCCCCTAACTCAGAGTAAGAAAAGTAGGCAGATTTTGGGCACTTATGATGCCTGGTCTACTTATAATGTGACTAATGAGTATAAAACCGCTATACCATGGAATTGTATTGTTAGTCTTGTACATGTACAGCAAATGTTATTCCTGTCTTCCTCCAATATGGTTACAATATCCTTAATGTCTCTCGTTCGTCACGTGTGCCATTGACACCCGAGTCAGCCCACAGCTGTCTCTAGATTCCATTACATACCTTACCTGGCGTCTTCCAAACTACTAGGCAATTATCTAACGGTTATAGGTGCAAGTTATTAACCTGAAGAGGCGGAATATAAGCAATGTCAGAATATCGATACAACTGAATTGTTCAGTCAGAACCGTGCAGAGGGTCTGATCTCGGTATAGAAACACTGGATCAAGAGACAAATTGCCTCTAATGGGTCTTCCAAGAAAAACTACTGGCCGTGAAGACCGACGACTGATTTTGATGCCCAGGTTGTCAAAGTTCGACATTGCTTGTCAGTTGACAACACAGTGGAACAATTTCACACATAAGAATGTGTCTGTGAAAATTGCTAGGCGTCGGTTACATGCTCATAGAGTGTACAGCAGGGTAGCAAGCCTGAAACCTCTTAAATCGTTACAAAACAGGCAACGTAGAGTGGACTAGGGTCAACAGAATCTGGAACTGGACAGTCCATGACAATTTGTCCTATATATTTTTTCTGATGAGTGTCGCTATGGTCTGACCTCTGATGACAGACGGGTACGATGCTGGCAAACTGCTGGTAAAGCATTTGAACTACATGCACTGAATTTTCGAACCCTGAGCAGCATATTCATCATGGTGTGGGGCTGCATCAGCAAACATGGCTTGGGCGAATTGATAGTGGTTGATAGAAACATTAATCACTAGAAATATATCGATGTTTTGGAGTCAGGCTTGCTACCATCTATTACTAACATGTTTGGTGACAGGAATTATCCGTTTGTTCACCAGGATGACAACGCTCCTTGTCACAGGCCCAGAGCAGTTGATGATTGGTTTGAACAACAGGACATTTGCAGGGTGATGTGGCCTGCCCAGAGTCCGGATGCAAACATAATAGAAAATCTGTGGAATGATATGTCAAAACTTTTTACAAATGCCCGTCTAACCAGCAGATAAACTCTGTTATATTCAGTGTTTCATTATTGGGCCAGCATAAGCCCTGAACGCATCAGACAATTATATGAATCCTTGCCTCGTATACTGGCACCTATTATTAGGTCACGTGGCTATGCCACTAAGTACTAATTTTGGACTTAAAACTGCATATTTTGGTAGAATGTATATTTTTTTCTCATTTTGTGATTTTTTGTGAAATTTGATGTTAATAAAATGATACCAGGAGCATATCATTCCACAGTCATTTATCTCCCCCATAGTATTGGCTCAGTAGGGGTGACACTTCTTTTGTCCAGTGTGTGTAGAAAATGTAACATTATTACATAGTTACTTATATAATTGATACGTAGGTAATCTCGGTTTTCGAGTGGTGAATCGAAAATATTCTCACTTTCGATCCTGGGAAGGCTGTTTACGTTTAGGTTTTAATATTAAAATTATGTTTAATGAGCAAATGGACATATGAATTTTATATGAATATATATAACTAACTAGGGTTATTCGTACTGTGGGGGAATTAACAATGTGGAAAAGTGGAGAAAAAAGATATAGCAAAAAGGGCGAATAAAGTAGAGATCTTCACAATCATGGCACACGATACAACTGAGTATAGCAACAACGTCTGCTACGCTTCGTTCTTACACTGTAGTGTGTCCAACTTTGATCTTTTTTGCTTTAAGTATGATAATTAAGTAAAATGCTTTCATATAATACCCTTTGACTTATATTTTAAAGGCAACTACATTTTTTTCAATAGATTCCTATATAATAATAATAATAATCTTTATTGGAGAATCGCAACCCGAAGGTTGAAGTTATACAATTTGCAGTGATTGGGAAGGTTCAAACCACCCATGGGACAATGGCCCCTCCTGGGTCACCCTTAATGGGCCATTTTGCATATCAATTGGCCATTGCTTGACATTTATGGGCCATTTTTAAACATGACAAATATATTTGAAATATCTATATCGATATTTTGGGGAATAATATGATAAGGTTTTGCAGTTAAACTTTGTTAATATATTTATTTAGTTAAGACTTTTATTTGTCTTTTTCAATAAAACCATTACAATGCCTTCTTTACTGAACTTATTTGAAGACTAAATGAAAAAACAAAATGATCAGAAAACATGTAATACTCATTAGTAATTGGTTTTTATTTGATGAAACCATCAACAAGAGGTAAACAATCTACATCTCTGAAAACCTTGATTACTCAAAACTGAGAAAATGTAAATGAAATTTTCTTCACATACTGTCTAGTACTTATTAATCAGTCTTACTGAAAAGAGATTTCATTACTTAATGAAGTAATCTCTTTTACCTGTGCCACACATTCAGTGCATCCTCATAACTTATCTTACTCCCAAGAATCTTAACTCTTACACTGTTCGCAGTCGTACTGGAGCCAGGGCCATAATTGAAGCCATCGGGGTTGGAAACCCCGTGCGACCTGAGAGTGAGAGGTGCTAGCACTAGCAATAACACTACTGTCAGTGTCACTACTACTCGTCGTAGTGCAAGGAGCGCTGCTCTCAGAAGTTGGTACATTTTCTTCCCCCGTCTCCTTTGAGACTTCTTCCTGAACGTTGGACGGACCCTTAGACGAAGCGGTTGAAGTAAATTAACTTATGTAGGCTGGTCTGGCGAGATTTTAAAAATCTTTTTCGGCGGTATTTTTCTTTTCACTTCACCAAAGTGCTGCTTGAAAAAATCCCATGTGCTTTCAGAACGAAAAGCAAGGTTACTTCTAATTGGATAAACATGACCTATAAACTGATTGGCCAATAAGATATCAGCTTTTATTTCATTAGCATATCTATTGGGACGATGTGCTCATTGCTCTCGGCAAACTTCGGCGATTGCGTTCGATAGCTTCCGAATTCGTTCCTGAGACGTCTTCAGGTATGAGAGGAAAAATACGCTAATCAGTTGACGAATAGTTTATTGACGAGTAGACTCTTTTTAAAAACGCGAGGTATAACAAAATCACGCGCCCTTATGGCGCACAAACAGGGCTTTTTATGCGCCCAGTTACGATTCTATGCACGTATGGCGCGTTCCTTCCCAATCACTGGTTACAATTATGTTATACAATTATATATGAATATTCAAGTCAAGGAAGCCTGGTCATTTTTGCACTGGTGCACTCCGTAGACGGTCTCACCTCCTTTTGAATTTCAACTAGGGGAGACCGGGGCTACAGCCTACAGTAGTTGGACGCCGGGGAAAGTTGGCCCCCCATCAATTTATGAAAAAGAAACTTTGGGGTAAAAGAATTGATCGCATCATTTTGTAAAGTGACTGTATCCAATAGTGCTAAGAAAGCATCGGCAGTGAGTCCAAATGAAATAATTTAGCATCTTAAAGTAACTGTATTAAAAAGATCCAACTAGCCCCGGTCTCCCCTACTGGTATTAATAATTTGTCAAATGTAGGCTAAATCAAAGTATAGTTATGATGATGATGTGCATAATTGAAAGTACATAATTGTTTTGGATTTGGAAGTCTGTTAGAAAAAGTGCCTGGATCCGCCCCTGGATGTCCATAACCAACGTCTCCACTTGTCTCCTAAAAAACTTGACCTGATTACAAACGCGTCTTACATTTCTGTTTTTTACATTTGTTTTGCCCGTTTAAGGTCTTTGATTGATAATGAAAAGATAAATACCTGTAATAAATCAATCGGTTCGTCACCCGAATCTCTGCTCAAGGGCTCCTTCAGTCCAATATGTTTAGGCTAAGAATGGCAGTTAGGAAGTGAGCCACCAAACTTTGCATATAATATGATTAATCCGCCCAAATAGTCCGACAACAAACTTAGTTCTCCTAAATATGCGTCTTAAGCCTAGATTACTTTGCCAAGGACGCTGTACGATGAAAAAGTATATCATTTTCCGAGCCTTTTTTTGACGCCGAACGTGGCTACGGCGTGTACGTTTACATAACGTGCGGGTGCCGTGCCATTGCGCCAACATGACTTTGACGTCAAGAAGGAAAATTTCGGTTTGTCGGTTGAAAAGGTGGTCGTACATTGACGTGTCATAGACGTGCGCCCTCTGCACAACATCCTTGAAGATCAGTAAGGTGTCGGTGCAGATCCCTACGGCTTTTAAAAGCCGAATTAGTCTATATAGACTAGACACTGATCCTGAAAAGAGGCATATAAAGTAACTTTACAAGCTATGCTTGTTTTGACACTGGGTTATAATAGACAATTGTATGGCGTCCTATAAAACAAATGGGCCGTGATATTGATAGAGGGCGCTCAAGTCAGCGAAAGGTGCGAAAAATTGGCATTTTAGCCGTATTGTCAATATTTGAAGGGTAATTACGTAAATTCACAGGCGACATCGATCCCCAAAATCTGTAAATCAATAAAAAAAATATTGCCTACAGTAAGATAAAGGAACAAGGAACAAACGATCATTTCACTGTCATAATTAAAACAGTCTACTTTTCTTTACTTTCGCGGCAAATTTACAAGTTGGTGGTCTTCGGGCGATCGCATTTCTCTACACATATTGCACCGAGAGTAAGACAATTCGCCCTGTTTATTGAAAGGTATATTTCTATTTTTTCATATGAAATCACATTTGTATTAGTCCAATAAATGCCGTAGCGCTGCATTTCAAATATCGCAAATCAATCCACATTTTTTTACACAATTGTGCCGGGATTTGAAAATCTGTTAGAGTAAGTGCCTAGATCCACCCCTGGATGTCCATAATCAATGGAAAATGCAGTGTGGCTAAATTGCGCAATACACCGCAATACAGAGCAACACAGCCCAATACACTTGAAATAACAAGTCTAGTGCAACTAAACACACGAAAGGGTAATTTGAAACTAAACAGGGTGATATGCAAGTGAATGTATTACTTAGTACTTAATATCGTTGATACAACTTAATAAATTTTTCATCGAGTCGGCTGCCATATTGACGAGTGGCTCTTTTTGGCAGGTAATAGGCCTATTTCCATGAAGAGCCACTCACCAACATGGCTGCTGACACGACGTCGCTTTGTTAAGTTTTATTAACAATATTATTTACCTAGTAATATAGTTTGCTTTTATATCACTCTACTTTGTTGTAAATTACCGTTCCTTTTGTGTAATTGCAACTGCACTTTTTTCAAGTGTATTGCGGTGTATTGCGCAATTCAGCCATAACCTGGAAAATGTACCAATAATATCTGCCGCCCTGGTTGAGGGTACCAGATTACAATGGCCAAACGAACGAATACTTTCTCGCACCAGCGATTGTGACAATTTACTCCTGATAATAAGATTTACGTTGAGAACATGTAGCAATATACTAAGCACCCTTGGAAAAGTTTTATGATGCCGTCTTTTACGGATGCTTCATTATTTTCAACAATTTTTTGAAACCGTGCCAACGACTGAACCTATTGCTGGACCTACTTAGTCTCCCCCCCCCCCCTCTGTGGTGTTTTAGGGTATAACAATAGATAAAACGTTAAATTTGGGTGTCTCCTCGTCATGACCTCATCTTGAGAGGTCAAGAACGCACGGGCTTCACTGAATAACTATCAGACATCCAAGCTGCATGGCGAGTGCATGTCAACTGCACCGAGTAAAATGAAGTGAAATATGAACTCACAACCATAAACCAAAATACAAATTTGAATTGATTTATTTATAAAAAATGCATTTCAATACATTTATAAGATTAAGCAAACATGACTTCAACTGCTGAAACAGTTTTATGGTACCGCCTTTGTAAGTTGATGAATAAACAATCTTACTTTCAAACGCAAACACTCAGGAACATGACCTCGACATTTATGAAACATTTTGTAGTAAAGGCAGAGTTACTCTTGAGTATATACCGCCCTGTCTTTTACACACAAGTCCAAAAAACACACAGAACTGAACATGTCCCTCGTCAAGCACAGTCAAATCAATGACGTTTACATACACATGTAATAAGTACATTCTCCAATCAACGATGGTGAAAATGGCATTATATACAAGGCAGTAGATGAGTATTTACACGTACACACAATTCCAATTGTGATCTGACACAGATTGACTGTTTATATAGAAATAGGTCAACAGTTTCTTTGTTCAGAATGAAAAACAAACATGATGTACTATCATTATGACATAGTATGATGCACTGCGTCTGATCCTGCTGCTGCAAGTTAACAGGATAATAAATGCTTGTAAAAATTGAATAAAATTAAGAAATTGCCTACAAGCCTGTTGTAAAATACTCCTGCAAGATTTATCAATAATACTAGCTTGGTTGCCATTCAAAACTGCATAAAAGAGTAAATAAAATATGAAAGTATTTTAATATACAAATACCAATGTCAATGGCTGAAATTCAAGACCACTAAAAGCAAAAATTCTATGCAAATGCTTGAAGTAAAGACCACTGTAATGTCGAGACTACTTCTTTTAGCCTCTAAAGATACAAAATGCTGATCTTAGCCATAAAAACTGAGGCTTACTTTTCTCTATTTCAATATACATGAATTTTGAAACTGGTTACCCATTCAATCGTCCTTAAAACAACAGCAGTATGATACCATGAAATTCTGAGTGTAAACTGTAGAATTCTACTTAGTCTTAAAAATGAAGATGCAAGCACTAAAATACCAGTAACAGCAAATTCCTTTGCACATTCTTTTTATTTTAAGAAAAAAAATGCATCAAATCATGAGTTTGCTAAAGCACATATTTATCAGTATTCCTACAATCTCAGTTGTATCTTGTTAACACTATGATGGTGACATAGGGGAAGAGGACTGACTTGTCTGGGAAGGCAGAGAATACTCTGTGTGACCAGCCCCAGTAAATACTGGTGGAGCAGAAAGCTTACGAAGCATGCTGGGACGTACTATTGGCTCCTCACTGGGCCCGTACCTACGGCCAGAGTAACGACCTTGACCTTGTTCATGTGACAGTCCTCTACGATACAGCTTGCCCAGGCTGTCAGAGTCACCGGGGGTCATGGTGATCAGACTAGAGTCTGAGGTATTGGTACTGTCCTGTCTTGACAACAACACAGAATGTGGTTTATCTTTCTCTTCAGTCAGCTCTTGCTTTTGACTTTTCCCTGAATCCACTGCTTCAGAATCAGGACCACTTTTAGTCTCAAACTGTGACATTAGAGCTCTCACACTGCTCTTTCTCTGCACAAGTGCAGTTCTTTTCGCTCCTGAATCAGAATTGACCTTTTCAGGACCACCAACACTGTCCTCTTTTGCTTTAGACGTGGATGTTGGCTGTTTTTCAATGATTTCCACTGGTTTCTCTATATATCTTCTCATGTCATCTTTGCTTTTGTCATCCTTGCTGTCGTGAAGCGGGGGTTTCTTAGCCCGTCCTTGCACCCTGCCCTGTTGGACCTGGATGGTTTTGGGCGTGGACACAACTTGAGACTCCGAAGGAGGTGCAACACTTTTAAAACTTAGGTGAGAGCCGCTGGAACCACCTGAATGATGTCTATGTGGAGAGGAAGAAACTGCTGAGTCAATACTTGGTGTCTTCATGCTGTCATCCTGAGCTGTTGGAGTGTACTGGTGTGGTGTTGACAAATCCCTAGATGTCTCCACTTGACCCATTCTTTTGGATCGTCTTGGAAAACTTCCAAAACAACTGTCCTCACTGTCTACTGACTCCTCTATGTTAAAATGATCTTTTACATATGAGCTAGTGTCACTGGACACATTAGTTTCTAACCTAGGTTGCCTATGAACATAGGCCCGTACCTCTCCAGCTTGCGTGCCGTCATGTTTGATCACATTTTGATTTGTGCTGTCTTGACTTTGACTAAACAACGCCACCTTGTCACCAATACTAGATGGTCTTCCACTCTTTGTAGCGGCATCGCCATCTTTCTTTTGTGAACTATTTTTCCACCTGTCCTGTCTTCTATCCCTATCAAATTTCTGAATTCCTTTTTTACTCTCAGAACGTCCATAGTCCCAAGCTGGAATATTGTCTCTTTCTAAGCTACTAGAGTCACTACCACTATCTGTGCTTTTATATGACTTAAAGATACTGTCATCTTCATATTCAAAAGGTCGTATTAGTCTCTTGTGTTGAGTTGGTTGATCATTGACTATAGGCGGAGAACTTTCCTCAGTTGGACTTGCCAGCACTGAACTCTCCTGTGCTGGATTTGCCTGTACTGGACTTGCCTGTGCTGGATTTGCCTGTACAAATGTATCACTAATGTCAACTTGAGTCACCATCTGAGATCGTGGAGATGGGAAACTTGGTGCAGTGATCTCTCTGCGCCTTAGAACCACACTTTCCTCTCGGTGGGGTAGACCTATACCCCTGGGACTATAGAGGGTAGAGTCATCCACTGGGCTGCTCTTGTCTCTAAATGGCAAACCCGACATATTCTCACCTGACGCCGTGTTCTCATCAGACATTTCTGTGTCTGGTTTTACATCTTGAGCAGGTGCTGGTTTCGTATCTAAGTCAACAGAGTCTGGTTTAACAACTAATATTTTCCTAGGTTTCACAACAATTACATCTTCCCTGTCTGTCTCAGTCACAACATGACTTGGTGCAGGGACTTTATCTACAAGTTCATCTATTTCTTCACTAGCTACAGGAGATAGTACTGTAGGTTCTGTGGGAAGGGTCTTAACTTCAGCACTTAGATTGTTGTCTTGATCTCCTATACTAACAGACATGACAGTGCTAACAGGTTCCAATTCCTCATTACTAGTTGTCATGCAGGGAGCCTCAGCTCCAATGTTTGACAAAGGTGGCACCTGTTCCTCTATTACATCCCCAACTGTACCCTCAGTGGTGTCAGCTATGACAGGTGCTTGTTCTTCACCATCAGCAGTCTCAGTGTTGTCAGGTGCTGGCTCTACTATGGCACTGGATTCAGCAGGTCCCAACTCCCCCAGACTACCCCCTTCTACAGGCGGAGCATCCTCTGTGTTGGGTAAAGAAGTCTCTGCCACATCAGACAGTGGCAGGAGCTGACTAAGGAGATCTTCTGAGGCAAGAGAGGAGCTTCCGTCGGGCGTGATCTGGTCCAGCAGTGATCCCAGCGACTCATGTCTGTGGGATATCACGTTGTCGTAATCTCCACTGTGCAAGGAACCCTGGGAACTGTGTCTACGGTTTAATGCGTTATCATATTCACCACTGTCACCCAGCCCTCCATCTGATGACAGAGACATGGTGAAGGCTGGCCGCTGTTCTAGCAGTAGGTCAGAGGACTGTGACACAGCAGGGTCGTCAACAGACTCTTGTCTGACAGGTGACACTGCCATGTCTGGTGACAGGGGACATGGGGACTGAGATGTTACAGATGCCACTGGTGACGGCGCTCCATGGCTGTTACTGCTGTCCAGCAAATCAATGTCTGTCTCCAAAAACGTGGTGGTGCTGGTGGTGCCCTCTTTGGACCCCTGTGTAGCTGTCAGACTGCTCCCCTCTGAGCTGTCAGCAGTTAAGGTGGTCATCCCTCCTAAGTGGTCAAAACTGGCACCACTGGTTATCAAATCTAAGGTTTCCTTTGGAATAAGTTCTGAATCTGACAGGAAATCTGTCTGTTCTTGGGGTTCTGCCTGATTTCCGTCATGATTACGTGTCAGAGTTCCCTGGTCCCCTACCTCTGAGGAATAGTCTATATGACCCCCAGAATCACTCAGTGTATCAAAGTTACTGTCTCTGAGTGTGCCCCAGTCACTGCGTGTTAATGTCCCCTGCTCACTGTCACGAGACAGGGTGGAAAAATACTCATCGCTCGACTGTGACAGCCGTCGATCCTCATTATTGGCAAAATTCCAGGAATGACAGCTGAGATTGTCGCAGCTTTCAGCTGTTGAGTCTGCTCCAAGTGTCCGGGACCATTGCTCCATGATTTCAGAGTTAATGGTGGACGAGCTGTCCAGGGTTATGACATCACTGTCTGGGGTTTTTAAATCACTGTTGGCAGAAAATAAAGAGTCTGATGACGTGAGCATCAAATTTGGGAATTTATCACTGTCCGGCGTACCCAAGCGAAGTTCGATCTTTAAACTTTTCCTCTGCTCGGAAGGAGCAGCAGGTGACTGTTCTGAATCTTCCTTTGTGTTACTGGACACAGAGTCATTTGTATTTGGCACTGACTGGGCACTCGAATCCTTGGAAGCCTTTAACAAATCTGGCTCACTACTACGGGATCCAAGAATATCGGGACTGGAATCCTTCTGTCCTCTTTCCTGGATGGCAGACTGCACTTCCTCCACCAAGTTATAGTTTTCTGTGCTCAGGTTCTCTATGGATAAATCCAGCGTGCTGCTAGACAAATTACCATCACTCTGACTGGCCTCCAATGTCTGTGACGTGTCTTGACTGACATCTTCCGTGGAGTCAAACTCCGAGAATCTCCGCACAGATTTTCTCTTAGCACCAGGGCTGTGAGCCAACTCCAGGATCTCCCCTGGCTCCTGGGTCTCATTGGGGACATAGAACACCCCGCTTCCTCCTCCTCCATTCTTGTTTTGAAATTTTTCGTCCAGAGAAGTGGAATCACTGAATGAAAATGACTTGTGGCATAAAGGCGAGGAGCTCTCTGAGCTTGGAGGTGTCTGCAATATGGGTGCCGAGACTAAACGTTTGCCGTTACTAGGAGATGGAGTGCTTCTCTTCCGTCGAGCCTTTGGCGAAAGAGCTTTTGCAATTTTCTGTTTTAATGATGGCGACCTGTGGGACTTCTTGGACTCGAGTTCTATTTCAAACACTTTGAGTTCCTGAGGGGTAGAGGGTTCTGATGCTGTTCGTTGCTTCTTTTTGCTTGGTTTCTGAGAAACTGTTTGCTCAGACACAATCGAGTCCTCAGTGACATCTGGAAAGATAAAATACATAGGTCAGTCCTTTGCCGTACCAAATAAATTCTAGTACAAAACCTACAACAATATGACTTTATTTGCCCCTCACCCTCATTTCTTTCAGCTGTGGAACAATTTCAATGTTTATTTTAATGGTCTTGTAATATAGCATTTGGATGATAAATAACATTACAAGCAAACTGTACTATTTAACTCACAGACTATCAAGGCTTTCAACTCTGATGCCAAAGTACCATGGAAAAAAACACAAATATAACTAAAATCTGAAATTCCACTGCTTTTCTTTGAAGAGGCTTCAAACGTTTAACACTCAATGTGTCTTGTGTCTTACCACTTTGAGCATCAGCGTCTATTGGCATTTCAAAGTAGGACTCCAGGGAGTTAGATCTTGGCATGGGGGCCTCAACCACTGTGGTTCCCGTGGTGATACTACTGTCATCTACTGACTTGGGCCGCTCTAACTTGGGACTCTCTTCTGAAATAATATGTATGGCACCCCTTAAAACATATAATAAATATTCTATTCAATGAAATGTATGTTTTTACATGTTTTTTGAAGCTTTAAAATCCTAGTCTGAGTCCAAAACAGATTTTATTTGAAATGCTTTGTATTATAAACTTTTGCTCGTAAACAAGAAAAACATTTGATCATGTTTTTCCTATAAACATTTTAAATTGTGGGAACAAACATCAATTCACCCAAATACTTCTTCACCATTCCAAATTACCAATATTTCTTTACCATTTGAAAATATCAACAGCACAAAAGTACACGAAAATACAACCTAATCTTGTATACATTCCCAGAAAGTTTCCCAAAGTAGGTGTAATATTTCCCTGTGTCTTACCTGCATATGGGTTGGCAATAAGATCTACACACAAAGTGTAATATTTCCCTGTGTCTTACCTGCATATGGGTTGGCAATTAGATCTACACACAATGTGTTATATTTCCGTGTCTTACCTGCATATGGGTTGGCAATTAGATCTACACACAATGTGTAATATTTCCCTGTGTCTTACCTGCATACGGGTTGGCAATCAGGGCCCCTGCATGTGGCAGTGCAGACATAGTGGCTAAGGAGTCGGCACTTTTTACCATACGTAGTTTCCTCCTAGTGTCACCTCTGCTTACATCTGTGTTATGTTGTTTACCGGAAAACTTGGAGGGCACTAGAAAGTTCAAGATGATTTTTTATCATTTAATTTGTTTAATAAGCCAATATATACCTTCATTTAGACATACAAATGACCTCGTGACTTTCACTTCTTTATCAGCTGATGAGGCAAAAAGGAAAATACACTCAATTGGTTCAATTAACTTACCTGTGTTCAGTTGTATAAAAGAGATGTAATTTGTAAACCAAAACTTATTCAAATCAAAACTTGTACTAAACCTGTGCTACAAGAACTAACAAAAACACAATATTCAAATTAGAAAACATCCAGACAATCCAAAATACTTTAAATTAAATTAAAGCACTACTACACAGATGAATACAATGACATAAATACACCAGTTACAGAAATTCCCAGTGCCATGACACGTATCTTAAGAAAGTGCAGAAAACAAAGACAACAAAAGGTGTGACTCACTTATCTCACCTGGGGTGCTACTCTTTCTGTATTTAGGTTTAGCAGCACCAGAACTTGTCTTCCCACCACTGCCTTTGAACAGAGCCTTCCAACCTCCTGACTTCCTGCTCCGCTTACGACTGAAAATATCAGAGAAAACATGTCACTAACTGTCAGCAGCAGTCGTACCATTTTCAAAGTAATTTTTTTACAGACTTATATATTCCCGGTATAAAACTTGCCAATTTTCCTTTGAAGAAAAGGTCACCTGAAGACAATACACAATATTGCCAACTCTTTCTACAGTAGTACACCTTTTGTACCTCTATATATGTAGTAAGCTGCCTTTGTTCTGTGTGGATTACTGATTGTTCTGCAATACCTTTATGTTGCAAGCTTGGTATACCTCAGGTTCCATCTAGGCTCTAATCTTTCTACTAAATTTATTATTACTTAGAACTTATATAATATATAACTATAACAAATCAGTACTTACGGATGTTCTAGTATAGTGTGGAATTCAGGCAAGGCAGCAGGACCTCCTCCTACTTCTATGTATTTCTGTTTTTGCTGGGCCTCCTCCAGTGACAGCAGTTTGGTGGGCGTGGCTACACATAGGGACTTGGGACGTGCTAGCTTCTTGACACCTGAAAGAGGACATAGGTATCAATTTAGCTGTAACCCTTTCAGAATGATTGTGTAGGGCATAAGGTCTTTCTTAATGGTGTACATCTTGCAAATATGACAGCAGGTAAAAAAATCTGAAATTTATGTGATCAATTAAGAGAGAAGTTGAAAGTTGATTAGGAGAAAAAGATTGATGATTTGAAAGAAAGACGGTAGAATAGCAAAGCTGTTTAGATTGTTGAACATTTTAGGTTTAACCTTACCAACAGAGAAAAGATGAACAAATGGAATATTATAAAAGAATTCTGCATTTGCCATGGTTTTGAATCATAACAGGCTAATTTTAGTAGTTCGTGCATTAGAAACATGCAACCATCAAAATGTATCAAAAACAGCATTTTAAACCTTGTTTTATCATCTCAGAAATGAAAGCACAGAGAGAGAAACAACAAAAACAGTAACATAACTAATTTTGCCATATTTATTCCCTATACAAGCTACATGATTATTTGATTGATAAATAAAGATACAGGGATTTAAAACACCCTGCCTATCAATTTAAGTTTTGTCTATAATGTAGAACTTCAACCTAATTTTCACTAGAATCATAACCCATAATGAAAATAGGAATTTAGAGGGGACATAATAAGACTAGGATCAAAAATACTTATTTCAAAATTATTCTTATATTTTTAATAATAAAAAAGTACTGAAATATTTTGACTAGAATTAGATGAAATGACTATAATTTGCTACAACATGTGTATATATATCTTGTAGATAAGGATATTGAAATAAGATCTTAGGCAAAGATGGATAGACATTGAAATAAATATATGTTTAAGAAGGAATGTTTGCATAAATGTGTGCTTGAATATAAAATGTGAAGTTATACCTAAATAGCTAAGGACAACTACAGAAATAATACCAAAATATATGAATGCATAAATAGAGAAAAAACCAAGCAAAGATTCCTATTTACAAAAAGAATACATTATTTTGCATGTTCATCCTCGTATAAAAATCAACTGTTCACTGAATATCTGCCAAACAATACATTATAAAATTATACAATATTATGTAAAGTCATGTATAATTAAGATATTCAATTTTGCCAGATATAACAGTTCAAAAATGGGTCAATGTCACTAGGTTTTTTTATTGAAAATAAAACAATTTTAAAAATTGACCTCTAACACATATTTCTGTGATTGTTGACCCAATAATGAAAATATTCATTAAACCAACTTTACCCATAAAACGATCTAATATATTTGTGAAATGTGCAATTTATTGCAAAAAGAATGTTTTAAGGGTTAAAAAACATTTGCAAGCCTCAAAATGAACACATTATTCGTGTCAAATGTTGTTACAGAACAGTGATAAAGATAAAAGAATAGAAATCAATCAAACTAGCTAAAATGTACAAAAACATAAAGTGACACCATGACTGCTATTTTATGGTGACAATTTTTCTTAATTTTTCACATTTTCGTTGAACTCCATATCCCACCCAGTCAGTGCCTTGAAATGACACTACAGATCACTGCAGGCAAACTCAAATTATGAGAAATCAGTTCATAAATCTGTCAAATATTTACGGGATACGTGACTTTTTTCAGTTATCTAAGACAACATCCCAGGTTACTTCGTGTGACCCAAAAGAAATAAGTCACATCTCATTGGAAAGATCCCAACACAGTGAAGTTCTGGTAAGTAACACTGTTACAATTTCCCCAATTATGTTGATATAAATACACTTTTCAGATCCATATAAATTTGGCAGCAGATCCTCTGTGAGTTGTGCTGAGGGTTTCTTTTTTTCGTTTTGTTAGTATAATCCTGGTTAGCATGCATATTAGAAAACAAAATTAGAACTACTTCTTAAAGTTGCAGATAAAGATGCAGTACTAGAAAAAGCTCATGCTTTAAGTCTAAGTAACTAAGCTAAAGCCTTAAACCCTGAGAATCAGAGGGCAGAATGGACTCAATAGACAGCCCTGTTCATTTTTCTAGTTATTTTTACTAAATATTCCAATGATACAAAGGTGCAGCAAAGCATAAATTCCATTACTTTATATAATACTTTCTGTTACCATTTAAGCTCATCCTTTTATGTCCTATTCCCTAGGATATGTGGATACAAAATAAGCAAAAATACCCCCCAAGGTTCAGAAAAATGATTGAGATATAAACCAAAAGCTACATATGTTGCCAACCCCCTGATTCCCAGGATTAAGCTCAGCCCGCAGATTCCCAGGGTTAAGTCTAGCCTCCTGATTCCCAGGGTAAAGCTCAGCCCCCTGATTCCCAGGGTTAAGTCCTATATCTAGAGCTAATACCACTACTACCACCACTTCTACTACATCACCACCACTACAATACATCACAGCACAACACACAACTACAGCTAGTCAGAATCTTCCTCCTTACTTTGGTCACCAAAGATGGTCTCTGCATGCTTGATGAGGAACTCAGTGACAACTGCCTGGACGCCCACCCCCTGCAGTGCCGCCGCTCCTCCACCCTGTTCTAGTTCTTTTGATCTGAAATATATAGCCATAGAGGTCAATGATCTGAAATATATAGTCATAGAGGTCATTGACCTGAAATACAGTCATAGAGGTCAATGATCTGAAATATATCCCCCGAGGTCACAATGTAATGGTATACAGAGTTAGAGTGCTATAAGCCCCCACCCCACCCCCATCATACATCCACTTCTGCTTCAGTTTTTTATTACCAGAATACTCAAAAACTAAAGTTAATCTTGGGTTGTTCTGTTGTCAGTCATACTCCATTTCATTAACTTAAAGTGCGGAATTAGCTCCATAGGAACTAACTTCAAACCTGTCTAAGAAAGCTCTAAAAGTCAGACAAAATTTCGGTGATCACGTTACCTGAGCAGATTGGGCGCCCACACAATGGCGAGGTTCTTACTGCCCATGCCAGTGTTTTCTCCGTGGGAAGCTATCTTGGCAAGATGGCGGAGCAGGTACGTCGCAGTTCTAGTGGATGAAAATAAAAGGATTTGTAGTATTATAACATGTTGGCAAAAAGTATTTGCTTTGTTCTATATAGATTACTATTAGATGTTTTAGACAGTGGGAAACTATTACTTGTCAAGTGAAAAAATATGGAAAAATAACATTATTTTAATAAAACATACTGTTGGTTAGAGCCATTGCCCACTGTAGTTTGGACATTACAGGGATGAGACCAGTCCTCACTGAAAAAGTAGGAAAATTGCCTGGGGGTCCAGGGTACACGATTCACAAGAATGACACAAATGACCCTGAAAAGGTCAGAATTCCGACAAAAGTCAGGAAAGTCTCAGCAGTGCCAGGGCCGTAGCCTGAGAAAAATGCCAGGGGGGGCAGTAAGCGGACACGAGGAGGCAAAGCCCCCGAGGGGGGTGGGTGTGGGAGGGGGTGTCCCCCTCGCACGGTGTGGAAAATTTTTAAAAACTGTATGTATAATACTGCATTCTGGTGCATTTTAACTGTTATTTATTGCTCAATCAGAAGTCAGAAATTGTGGGTTCATTTTGCCATAAGTACAGTCATTTTTTCAACACAACACGCCAATTGGACTTTTTGGCATGAACTGAGTTTGTTAAAAACAGTACACCTTTGTGAACAGATTGTTGAATGATTGTCTAGTGGCCATGAGTGCATTTTCTCACAGATTTGATACCAACTTTGCAATTATTTATTTATTTTTACCTTTGCGATTATTATTATTTTTTTTTTTGCACCTCAAATCCCAGGGGGGGCAGCTGCCCCCCCTGCCCCCCCGGAGGCTACGGCCCTGAGTGCATTACCTGTAGTGTGGAGGTGGTAGCTGCTGTAGTATATATATATATATTACCTGTAGTGTGGAGGTGATAGCTGCTGTAGTATATATATATATATTACCTGTAGTGTGGAGGGGGTAGCTGCTGTAGTGTAGATCTCACTCCCTGCCACTTCTCATCTTCATTAGATACATGAACTGCAGACTGAAGTGAAAAGAACATGTTCTACTAATACAACCAGGGATATCCTCAACTCCTTCCTGATACATTATTATATATGCCAATATATTTCTTACAGGTCACAATATGACCATAAACCTCAATCTGTGAGCCATGAAATTAGTAGCAAATCCAATTTAAAATTTCATAGAATCAAATACAAATAAAGGACTTGATTCATTTACGGAATTCATTTGATGCAAGTTCCCCTTTATTTATACTTTTTCTACATTTCTCACAATCTATCTACAGCAGATGGTGGCTCCACCTACCACAAACTTCGAGTAGAGTTGATAGGTGAGGAGAGGGTTGGGTAACTCTCTGAAGTACATCTTCAGTAAAGAGCTGATACTGTGGATGTCTTTCTGGGTCTCTATCTTCAGGTCAGGAGCTGTCCCTTCATCAAACGCTAGCCTAGAGGTACAAGGCAAAAAACATTTCACTTGAAAAATAAAGTTTTCTTTGTCTTTGTTGTCCTAGTATTAACTTTCATTCCATAAGTTAACCTTGTTTCCAGATCTCTTTCTGTAATTATATTTTCAAATAGTTTTAACATAATATTATATATATTACATCACAGGTACAGCAGAGCTTGAGAAGGAAAGACAACCTCAACAGCACTCATATTTTTAGAATTATAAATTTCATTAAAGAACTGCTGTTTTATATAAACCCCAGATCATACCTGAGTTTCTGTATATTAGATGCCACTCCAGACAGTCTGTATATACCATCTACAATACCATGTTTCTCTATTACTTCGCTGCAAATCTGGAGCACCTGTGGCACTGGAGAATAAAAACATGTCATTCAGTTGTCACATCCCGACAGGAAGGGTCTTGTGAATTTTTAAAGGATCTTTATGCAATTAAGTCACTATTTTTTCTCAAATCTAGCATATTCATGTCAACAAGAACAATATAGAAATCTAAGCCACTATGTAAATAGACAATCCCTGAATATACCAACTTCAAGAAAACATTAATGAAGAGTTAAGTTAATATCTAAACAACATTTAAAGAATCTATTTTTGGACTGACAAAATCTGTGATCAGATGATTACCATGACTGTTATTGTATGAAGAGGAAAAGTCCATAAGAGGACACGAAGTTGTCATAATTGTAGTGATCATCTTCTGACAGACACTGTAGAACTAGACATATATTATGTTGTGTATATTATTTGTTTCAGTCCTCCCCTACCTTCTAGTCCTGAATTGAGCAGATGTTCACCAAGATCACAACCAAACACTCTCTCCTTCACGATTCCCGTCTGCTTCAGGGCGTTCCTAGTGGGACGATGCGTGAAGAAACGGGACAGGAATGATATCACCTTGCCTCTGCGCTGTAAAACTGGGAAACACAAAATAAACTCATCATAATTTAAGTTAAATAAGAACACTTGAAGAACATTTTTTAAATAGGGCATACCTTAGTGATAATTAGAAAACTACTGATTTTTCCAGGAAATTTTTTATCATGAAAATATCTTAACATTTCATCCTTCTTAATAGTGCTATTCAAATACGCACATTCATATCTTTGTGATGCTGAGAGAAAGCAGTGATATTCAAATCAACTCCTACCTGGTTTTTGTGCTTCTGCTAGCTTAGCCTCCACTGTTTGTGGCATCTTGTTGTCAGAGCCAATGATTTCTACACACTCTGCTGGGAAGAAACCAACCTGAAACCATTCACAAATACAGTACATACTAAATCAGGAAGAAGACATCAGCCAATTTTGTGTGTTAGAAGGTACTGAAACTTTAAAACCTAAATTAATTAGCAAGGAATTTCAACTGTGACAAGTATATTTCCACACAGTATGGCCCCATTCAGAATAGGAGAGTTACTAGTCCGAGGGTCAAATATGGCAACCCACCACAAATCTTGCCGTCTAATACGCTAATAGACACTGAATAGAAATATCCCGTGAAGTTTTCAAGTGGTTTGGCCATATTTGACCCTCAGACTAGTTAGTCTCCTATTCTAAATGGGGCCAATGATACCACAGCTCTCACAGTGTGGTGTTCCCTACCTCAAATGAAGCCTTCTTTCCTCTCCACCATACTGTGTCCTCTACTGGAGGCATGTCTATCACAGATACAAAGTCACCAACCTGAAAATATATAAACACTGGATTCACTGCCATGGCACTGGTATAACAGTACAGTTAATAATATAGGGAGATAGTGACACAAAGATGGGAACTGGATAGTAATATAACTTGTTGAACTCATTAAAATCAACAATCAGTATATTGTACAAAATGTTATGTTTGGTAGTCTTGTGCCTTCTATGTGAGGGCAAGATTGGTCCCACAAACCAGCAGACTTCAGAAAATGACTGTCCAGAATCAGAACTATAATGTTTAAAGATGATATCTATAGATTTTTTGCTAAATTTTAGTGAATGTACATTAGCAATGTAGTCCCCTGTTTGCAACTGAGTCAAATGCACATGTCATTTACACTTGTGACTGTGACTTCAGTTGACATACATTTCAAAGACCTGGACTTACTTTGAGAGAGAGTTCGTCTGTGGCCTGGGCGTTGTGTGACTTCACTACGTGTGCTGCCGCAATGGCTGGGATATTGATGTCACTGTCATCACTGGAGGTTATTAACAGACGGTTGCCATGGTTATCCATCTATAAACAAACATCAAAATGTTATGACCATAGTATTTAAAAACTGGCAATACCATTTCTTTACAGCATTATTTCCAGCCAAGAAAACTGAAATGTTCACATGGACTATGAATGATTTGCCAAGCCCACCAAAATATTAATGACAATTTGTAATTTTCTTGCCTACTATTTGACCAGGAATACCCAAAATAGAATAACAAACAGCAGCCATCCATCAATACCCTGATACCACATATATGTGTACAAACATTCCAAGTGGTAGTCTAATACTATTATAGGGTGCTGATCATAGTCACCAGAGAAAACCATGGCTGCTGCTTTGACTTTAAATTACTGTGACTCTTGATCAATTCCAAGTCTAGACTCATCTCCACTGCTTGTCATAAATCAATGAATAAATACATAGGAAGATTTAATTATTATCCTCTGATCAATACACGGTCATGTTGTACCTAGTTCAAACATTTTCTGAATATGAATCAACAGGCAACTATATTAGGTAGCTTCATTATGAGAGACAAATCCACTTGTCTAAAACACAAACAGATTGATCAATTATCTCTCTCACTCTCTCCTGGCCAGTCTCTCTCCCCTCGTCCCACTCTTCCCTTCCCTTCTCTCTCTCTCTCTATGTCTCTCCTTATTTTCTCTATGTCTATGTCTCCCCCCATCCCCCCTCTCTCTCTCTCCTTCCCCCCCCCTCTCTCTCTCTCTCTCTCTCTCTCTCTCTCTCTCTCTCTCTCTCACCTCCAACCAGTTCAGTATTGGTCCACAGCTGATCATGTTGCCTGCTATCTCACTGAATTTGTTCAGGTAGGCAGCTAGCTTCTCTGGAATGCCCTGCAATTAAAATGATCAGCAAAAATTACCTCAATGAAAAAATATTATTTTCTGAAAATAAAAGTTGGCAAAAGAAGTAATTATTGGATAGCTTTTTACTGAAATTGAAATACGTATGTAACATGATTTTCAGTTCAGAACTGGGGGCTTCAGCTTGCTTTCTACTGTTGTCTGGACAATGTCCAGCAAGGAGAAGTTATAGAGAACAGCACCAATATTTACCGTCTGCAAAAACAAGTTCTTACGACTTGTCAACACAATACATCACTCCAAGAACCTCTGCATTGCCTTCCAGTATATACCAGTGAATACCAACTGGCCATATCTACTTACCCTATATGTATTTCACTGTGGAGAAACCAGACTAACTAACATATCTGTATAAAATATACACATATGAATACACCCAGGCTAGATATCTGGATTCACAATTTCTCTACTGGAGGTTAATTCTGAATCGCATCATAAAAGTATTATAAGTATACTTTAATATTTAACATTAATTGAGGCCCCAATCCTATGCACTGGGAACCATTACCAGTCTTTCATAATATATCCACATGGTCTAGAACTATCACAAGTAGAACCCTGTGCTAGCCTTCTATTTCTATTGCATAGACCAGGACCAGTCAATATCTGGTAATCCTGTATGTACTTTATAAAATCTGGTCATTAGTAAGTAAGTCATCTTCATAATTATTTGTGCAATGACACTAAGTCAACTTAAATCAAAAGTATGACTTTTGAACTTAACCAGTCAGTAAAACCAAACCAGGCTAAAAGATGTCCCCTTCTCTGTCAATATGTGCGAATTGGGATGGAAGACTGTTCAGTTAAACTATTGGCCTCAGTTAGCCATGAGAACACTGACTAAAAATCCCTATGCCATCTTTCTAAAGAATAAATACAATCCAACTTGTACAATTTTCTAAGAAGACAACCTCCAGGAATGTACCAGATGAACTGTAATCAGATGTCAGTAATAGAATAGTTTTCTGCAGAATGTATACATTTTACTTGCAGTTATTGTTCCTGTTTCTATCAGAGTATTGATTTTTGTGCTGGTTGATTACTGTATGTGGAGAGATCCTTCATTTAACATCATTACAAAGTTATTATCTTTCTTCCCAAAATTCTGCAACTAAAATGACAGTAATATCAATGGAAATCACGTCTGCCATGGTACATGTAGGAAAGGGTCAATTACAATGCACAACCATTGAAATAAAAAATTAAATTTAAATAAAATAAAATAAAATAAAATAAAATAAAATAAAATACTAACTTTTAGAAGAAACTGACAGCAATTAATCTGAGCAAAATAACAGTTGCACAGTGTTGACCAACCTCACTTCTTCCAACCACTTTGTCATAACACACGGTACACAACTGCCCCTCATCACAGTATTACCACATCAACAACTGCTTGAAATAATTTTTCCATTTAACAACTACAAATGCACGTTCTAGTACACAAATATAGTTATAGGAACACAAATTTTACGATTTTACCTTGTGTGTGTCTAAATAAACCCATGAAGTTTTGAAATATTTCTTTGCTGAAACATGTGCATGCATGCAAGTATGCACACACAGACAGAAACATTCTACCAGTCTTTACTCATCCTCTGGATAGATATGAAATTTTGCAAACTTTAAGGAAATAAGAAAATGTGTGCTGTATTCTAACAACTACAGCAGAAAAAATGCTTACCCCAATTTCTGCAAAGTATTTTCCATCTCTTTCCCATTATTTTCTGACATTTTCACTTCCTCACATTTCACATTCACCCAGCATTCAAATGCGGTTTAAAGTATTGATTCTCTCTTATTACAAACAAGGGTCGCGCACAGATGGCATTATTTACGCTTCCTGGCGCCCTCTGCTGGGAAATCTTCCCTGTTATTTCACACGGATGCTGCTCTGGTGTTTGTTTTCTCCCCAGACATGTTGACTTAATACATTGATTTCCTGGTTTTTGACCCCAGTATACTGCCAGATAGAGAGGGAAAGAGTTCAAATGTCCCATGTTAAAACAGGAATGCGTGTGCCCACAGCTGGATATGCACATGCAGATATGCTATAAAACAGATCTGCACGTGATTTACATGATAGGCAGACAATTGGATGAGGTTATCAATATTTACCAAACGAAAAAACACTTCAACCCTAAGGCAATTTTGATGGAAGTTGGGTAAAAAGCTAGGCATGATCTAACATTAAGAGATCTGGTAACAGACCATTATTTGACCAGAAAGATTCCTGCCCATGCTTCACTGTTCACAAGAGAGTGTTTATCAGCAGACCTGCACTTCCTTATTCTCCCATTTGACCAATAGCACAATAGTGTTCATTGGTACTGACCAGTGCTCTAAACTGACCTCAAGAATAAGAACAGATATGGTGGTCATCCACATCACATAGTGCAATGAGAAAGTGACTAAGGGCAGAATATAAAAAAATATATATATATAATAAAAAAATAAATAAAACCAAATAGCAGACACACACACAAACATACATACACTTTTCATAATGAATCATTCAAAAAAAAAAAAAAAAAAATCCTTCTACCAATTGATGCAGTGTTAAACCAGTGAGTTGTTCACAAGGCTAGTTGGTCATCCTCCTATTGACCACTCAGTATTAATCCCATCACAACAGAAAGCACACTTAATGGCAGTACCATCCTGAGGGAGGAATATTGACCAGTCCACTTAAATGACCAGTGATAAGCTAATGACTAGCTGGTGGCAATAGGGCAATGACCATCATTTCTGAACAGACTGGAAACATATTTGTGTTTAACATGCCATCCTTAGGCATGGCAGCTGATATATACATATCACATAATCTGAAATGATGTTTTTGCTCTACTAATCTGGTACAAAAGAAACTGTATTTTTGCTTTGATATGATAATTCACTTACAAAAATGTGTGTGTGTGCATGTGAGAGAGAGAGAGAGAGAGAGAGAGAGAGAGAGAGAGAGAGAGAGAGAGAGAGAGATTGCTCACCTCTAAATTTTCCTCATCTCCGTCTTCCTTACGGAGCTCTGGCAGCTTGCTGAACTTGCGATCATATATACATTTGTGCAGCTGCTTGTCTAACAGGCGGAAATTTTCAAAAGTTCTTTTTAAAGTCCACATTTTCTCATTAGAAGAGACTTTAATAAAGTAGAGAGGTGTCATAGTGCCGTCCTCATTGTGTTTGTAACTATCGCGGTGACCAGGAAGTAGTGACACCTAGTGAGAAGAAATAACATCACACCATAAATCAGAAAGTAACCTAAACCAAATGAAACATTATACAGACCAGAAGTGCCATAATTTACGAGAACAGTTTTAAGCAGTGACTGTGACACATAACAACAAATTACTGAAATATGTCATACACTTAACTGATACTATGCAGGTCTTTACAAGTATTTAAGTATGAGTTATTCCGTTGCTTCAATTATTACTCATGACTTTTATAAATATTTCCATCAGTTTTGGCAATCTTTGATAATACCTGAAGAGGTCCGAGCTCTATAAAATCATAATGGAAGTGAGCACAGTCGTCTATTTTAGGAAATCTGGAGCTCAAATCATGAACTTTTCTGAAATTGGTACAAAAAGAGTGGAATACAACAAAAATACATGTAATCATTTCTGTAGTAGCAACAGCAGGTTTTTTTTTCTATTATTGTGCACTTAACCTTCTAATTTGGTAATGGAAAATGTAAAATATGAGTCTGAGAGACGCTTTAAAATGTTAATTGTTTCAAAATGAAAATCAGAACAAGCAAAAATAGCTGTTAATCGACTGAGTTGCACTTGACACAGAATCTGAAAAAAAGTTTGCTTCATTTTTTACAGTCTTTTAACTAAAGGAAATTGTGATTGTCTTGACAATGATTTAAGTGAAGACAATGGCCCATTACATAACGCCAACTACAATTACTGGGGACCTATCACTCTTCTACCACTACTATAACAAAGTCCACTTTACTGAGTCAGCTATTTCATTTTAGCAGTCTACGCTCAGTTGAACAGCAACTTACTTTGTCATGGCTTTCACTTTGACATTTATTTTGTCATGGCTTTCACTTTGACACTTACTTTGTCATGGCTTTCACTTTGACGCTCCCTGAGAGTTCTCTGATGCCAGCTCTGTCTAAACTGTCATAGATGGGGATGATGCCCACCTGAAATATGAAAAAAAAAATTTAATAGTTATTCTAAACTCGACTAAATTTAAAAACAGGAGAATACTTGCCCTGAAATGAGATTTCCAAAATATAAAATTTAACTGTGAAAACGCTGCAGAAAATTCAGTCAATGAGAAAAAAAAACACCCTTCCTTAAAAAGTATGATATAAATAACCGCCAATGGCCAACATCTAAACATGTGAAACACACAGAGACGGCTCCATCCAGCATGCACGTTTACACACACATGCAATCACACATGAGCACATATTTGCATGTAGTTCTTACAGACTTCAAAAAACATAACTAGTCACTGCAGTTGTGCCATTAAAACTAATTACAACTTGTTATCACCCACTACTAACCTCAGCCACCTTGTAACTTCACAGGTTCTAATGTACAAAGATATTTCTACTAACCTCAGCCACCTTGTAACTTCACAAGTTCTTATGTACAAAGATATTTCTACTAACCTCAGCCACCTTGTAACTTCACAGGTTCTAATGTACAAAGATATTTCTGAAGTATTTTGTAAGAGCTGCAAAACACTATTTACGACTTTTAAAAAGCCTAAACTTAAGTTGATTTATAGAAGTTATTATGGGTTGAACACCCTTCATCGTATTGGAGAAATAGTTGCCCTTCACTTGCAGACTTCCTCAGAAAATGCAAGATTAATATCATGAATCTTTTACTATAAAACATAAAAAAGATTGTGACAACAGACTTGTTAAGTTCATAAAAAACCCTTTTGTACTACACATAAAGCAAGATTTCTCAGTGTTGGGTGACTTAATGAGTTATCAATGTCACGGTCCAAGCCGTGACTCTCAGGGTGCAAGAGGGCACCTGCCCTGCCATCTATTACTATACTTACATAACTGTTCACAATCACTGCCATGGTCTCCAGACTACCCATCAACTCTTAACAGGTGCTGGAACAATTCAACACTCTAGCTGTAGAATAAAACAAGGCGCGGCGTGTTATGAAATCACTTCAAAGACGTCTTAATGTCCATCAAAGTAAACACACTGTGTATGGTCCAACACCTCCACGTGTCAATCTGCTGTTTTTTATTGCTCCCAAGACCATTTTAGTATCAAGTGGTAGTAAGACCGTAGTATTCCAATTGTTTATCCTAAAATAACTCCTTTTCAGCAGAAGAGAGAATTTTAATCCCTAGTCCAAGTCATCTACATTGAAACTTATTGAACAGCATCAAACATTTAAACACGCATAACTAAGACCTATGTAACTTCGCTGAAGAGATCAACAAATGATACAATGGATCACATGACACATCAGCTGTGTAGGAGAGGCGCAACTCTTTGATATGTATGTCCCATGGTTTATGTACCCTTGATATACTTAATAGTTTTAGTTCACTTGTCCAGTTGTATATTCATTTCAATATCTAGTTGTACGTGCAGTTGTCAACATTAACTTTTTAACATCCACTTGGTAAAGTCCATTTGTTAACATCCATTTGCTAATGTCCAGTCATCATGTCCAGTTCCCCGCAGCCAGGTGGGTGGGTGGATGACACATGTTAACAAGCTCACACCAGACATAAGACATTCATATCACATACTGTTACATATGTCAACTTAATCTGAACTCTCAGCAAACCATGTGACTGTCATATATATATCTAGATGTCTTACTGTCACATAAGACGCCCCTCCTCGAATTGTAAGTCAGTCAGTTCGACAGTCATGTGACATACATCCCAGCTGATGCTATCCCAAATTCTTGTCAACGATGATATTTCACAGATAGCATTACACAGCAATTACAAGTTACAAATGTCTCCCTTTCTTTCAAGGATTTCAATATTATCTACATCTGCATCAAAGTCACCATGGCAACAATATCATTTGCCAGTCACTATGGTAACAACATCTTTAGCCAGTTGCTATGGCAATGAAATCTATCCTTACTAGCACATATGGCTATCCAGTGTTGTTTTGGTTTGAAATCCTAGAAGACACACGGACAATTGTGAATCTGTTACAGATTTTTTTAGGTCCAATAATATCCTCATCCATGAGTCATGTTGAAAGAACTGAGGAAAATTGGCCGTCTCCACAGTTGTATTTGTCAGTTTTCACCGTGTGGTGTCCAATACTGCAGGTGTAGATAGTGAAGTCAAGTGTTCTACAAACAGCTCCTTTCTATTCCCCATGGTGAAAGGTCTTCACTTATTTCCTGGAGTAACCTCTCAATTACTTCCCCATTACCATGAGAGTTAATCTGGATCAATCTGATGAAATTAGTCGAGTTAAGTCTCGCCTTCCTGAACTCAAAATTGAATAGAATGTCCTAATTAATATCCAATTACCCGGCTGATTCATGCTCCACATTAATCCCATGAAATAAGAGAAGACAAGGCCTGGTTTCTGAGACATCAAATAGACAGTGAAATTCTTCCAATTTTCCCTTCTATAAAAAACTTTCTCAACAGAAAATACCTTTTTTCTCACTAAAAAATTAAATTCCTTAAAAACAATATATCCCAAGTTTGTGCTAAACAGCTACGTCAGGAACAGTTCCACCTGAGAGTGAAGAACACCAGTTCAGTCCAGCATCTCTATTCATCAGAACAACTTTCCATAAATCCTTGCATCACAGATAACTTAACACAACATGGCAGCATTGGTTCAGTCAACTACCCACACAGGCCTATACTTTACTCTCAGCGAGCAAACAATTGGGAGAAGTGGAGAAAGTAGCAGGTTGAATATCTGGATAGAATCCAATTGTAATCTGGACTAGACTCTATCTAAATGTCACTTTCTATCACACACAATGCACTGGAACAGCTGCCGCTCAACTGCAACATCAACTTCCCTTTTGTTGAACTTTGTTTCTACTCCAAAATTTCACTGTTTATTGAAGTCATTATTCCATTTAGAGTACATTGATAGTGCTTCAATGTTGTCGATTAACTGCTGTTGTAACAGTGTTGATGTCAACACATTATCACTGTTGCTGTTCAACAATTACTGTTCCGTTGTTTTTACAACAATGATTGTCTCTTTGTTACTGCAACAATCACAATCCCCTTGTCACTGCACATAATATCTCATCTGTTTATTACTCATTATTTCTAATCCAAGATTATTCAATACGTGCTTTTCATCACAGATCATGCAACCACTACATATTATTATATCAGTACCTGCATTAAAACAGCATCATAAGTCACAGCTTGTAACGGTTTCATCTAGATGCCAATTTACTCCTCCACACCTGTCTTCTCATCTGCTCCATCCTTCTGATGTCAAATAGTAGTTTTCTCAGTGTAAGTGTAGCTATCTCAGAGAGACAACATGGAATATATTATAGGGTGCTGCAATATCACTATCTGCCTGATCTTTGCTAATTTCCTTTGATACATTTGATCCATAAACTATGTCCAAACAACCATCAAAACACAATCAAACAGCCAGAAATAGTTCACAAATGGACACCTTTTCAGTGTGGACAGTCTCTCTCTTTTTATCTGTTTCGAAGCAACAGAAATGGTGAATCTCTATCAATCTCAGTACCAAGTGACAGAGGAGACATGAGACCCTGTGACATAGCCCAACACCACTAGTCCACTTGTAAGCAATGTCATTTGTTGGCTGTTATGGAGGCACACACCTATAGGAGCACCTGCTTGGCCATGTCATCTATGTCAATTACCAGGGACAGTTGACATCCAAAGATTGATGACAAATCACAGAATATTTTCACTCCCACATGAAGGAACCAGTTTAACTTGTTCATCCATCCTGTGTGTGTGTGTGTGTGTGTTTACAGCAAGGTCCAACTCAATCTGTCTTCAGGATGCCAAATTGGCAAGAACTTTGCTTCTATATGGCTATTTGAGATTCTATTATGTTTTTTTTTTTTATCTCAAATTGGATTCTTCTAAACTGGCAACTTGATTTACATCATCAGGCAATATTCCAATGTCAGAAATACAGCAACATTTGGACTAATAAGATTTTTATCACACACAGTACAGATGCAGCTGTTTATGACATCTATAGAACAATGTAAAATACTGCTAAAGAGAGTAAATAAATATAATCCTACACAGAAGAGGAATGTAAACAGATCCCTGTTCAAGCCAGTACAGGTATTCTGTAGAAATAACACACAGATGCTTTCCTAGTTCTCTGTGTTCACTGGAGCCCAGCAGGTTCCAGAGGTTCTCAGTAGATTCCACTCCAACTGTCTGTATGCTGCCAATATCCAAGTCAAACCAGACTATAGCCACAATGACTGCTAAACCAGGTAGTTTAAACAGCACATTCCGAATGTTGTTTACTAACAGCTGTTTATTTTTTAGCAGATATAATCTCTAGATGAATGATATTCAAAGGCTCTCCCTCTCTTCAGCTCCCCAATGACTGTTTACTGCCACCTTTAACGCCACCTATCTATCAAGGCAGTAATTACCCATTGATTATAAATTACCTAAACTGTGCAGTCAGATTACTAAGTCAAGTCAGTTTATCTCCATTCACTGGTAATGACTGTTAATTCACTCAGTGGAGTAGTTAATTCACAGATCATATCATATTCCAAATACGTTCATTGTATTCACTCATTCACAGAAACTGAAATCATTCATATGGTGGCTGACTGCAAGTCTTTGCAAAGAAAAAAAAAACAGTATATGAATACACCAACAGTCCACAATGGTCAAGCAAGCCAATGTCCAGAAATAACAAAAACCATCAGACACTGATGGTCATCTTTATCATTGTGGTCAATGTGGTCAATGTTCAGTTTTTAATATTTATCTAAATCTTGTATCCACCCTCTATGTCCATATAGGGTAGTGGTCACTGGCTCCTGCCTTTTTCCTGTTGACCTAAATGCTTTTTAGCAGGTTGTAACTTCCAATGATTTAACATATCAGGTATATGAACTGTTTAGTTTGGGTTTATAGCTCTTGTGTACTTGTATCTATGTATTCTGTTCACAGGTCTGACAGATCTCAAGTATCTCAGGTATCAATGGTACAGTGTGTGTGGATTAATTGCTGCTAAAATGTTGCTTTCTAAGGCAATGTCATCCTTTACCTGTTAAATGACATTGACAATGAAGGTAATTTCTGATTGATGCATCACCTGATTTGCGGTCCTTTGTTCCTAGAGGATTTTTCTCTACAATGTCACGGCAGTTGTTCATAAATCATTCAATGAGTCAAAACTGTCTGTTTTCCTGGTATTTCACTTGTTTGACAGTAATGCCATTCATGGTTGGGTTTTCAAATGGTATCAAAGACTATTCCAGTTCCTGCACTTTGAACAGAAGTAAATTAATCAATGGGTTTTCCTCTTCTTTTCTGTTATTGACTGCCAGTTTTTGTTTCTTGTATCTTTGCTTCCACTTCTGTTTTGATCACTGTGATAAGTTCCCTCAGTCCAACTCCTTTGTTATCCATCTATAGAGTTCTCTTACACAGCCAAATCTTCCAAACTCACAGCCTTCACATCCCAGTCTTCCTGGTCACAATGCCATAGAACCACTCCCATCAGACAAAGCAGACCATTGGCTCTCTCATCCAGACCCTATATCCCCTATATCCACCACTGTCGCTGTATTATTCCAGTATGAAGCAATGGCCTTCCACCAAGTCCCACATCTGCTGTGAGGAATATTGAATTAACTTCCAGAGTTGTTCAGATTGATGTACAGACGCCTGGAGAGTTCAGAATCTTGGCATTCTCTCCGATATCATCACTGAACTCCTTAATAACACGTGCCCAGGCCCCACTCTGATGGCTTTCCCACTCGGCCTGCTGAAATGCCATTCAATTTTACACGATATTTCCTCACTACAGCTTGTACTATAAAACCTGGCCTATAAGCGGAGGTGGATCAGTTGTTTTACTGCACCTGATGCTCCAGATTGTAGGTGTGTGTAAAACTTAAAGCTGAACTAAATGGACAAGCAACACGACTGTGTTTCTCAGTACATACATTGTACCAATTAAGTGTAAATAACCCTCATTAATTCAATTCTGTGACATGTTTTCCTCTGTTTTTCTCAGTACTACCTCCACTTTACAACTGCGCAACAGTTCAAGGTTGTTTTTCCACCAACAAAGTTCTTATTTCTTCCTCAGATCAGTGTACAGCATGAACTAACCCTGACAATCCAAACCCCAAGTCAGCAAATCAATCTATTATAATTGTGTCCACAAGGAAGAAAGGCTCTGTCTCTGTACACAGAGAATACCATGTACCTTCACACGGGGGAAATCAATCATGGACCTCTCAGAAGATCCGT